CTGAAATACAATCCGAAGGAGTACAATGCCGAATAAAAAGTGACACGGTCGCGTTACAATGGGCCACGTAGAGGAATCTCCTCTTTCCTAGAGCGGAATCGTTCCCCGAGGCCCGTGGACTCGTAAAAATCCATTACCCGGGCGTTCGAATCTTGTTCGCTGTCAGGGGAGGCATTCCAGCGAGGATCGAGAGCGGTCAAAGCGCCCGTGGCGTTCCTCTCGTTAGGTCGCCGCCACCTCGACGGGGGGTGCCGTTCATAACTCAGCCGAAATATTCGCCTACATTCTGCGCGTCCCCGTCGCGGCTTTAGATGCATGCACGTAGAAACGCTTTCGGCGAACTTTATCCCGTGCATACCGTCGCGCACTGTTTCGTGAGATACGATAAGTTATGGAAGGTGATGCGTTTCTTTTTAAACCATTTCGCGTCGCTTAAAGACACGGTAAATTTGATATAAAATATAAAAAGAAAAGTGTCCAGGATACGTACACACGAGGGGAGGTCCGCAAGCGTCGACGTACAATAACGCGACCAAGCGAGTTGACCCTGGAAAGCCAGGTGGAGGATGAGGACTAGGAACAGAAGGTGGCGGTGCTGGCAGGGAACAGAAGGAAAGGGTTGGCTGACGTCGGCCCTCTGGAAGAGGGTCCCCGTTGGGGAGGAGGTCGGTGTAGCAGGGCCATGAATTATGCAGTTCGCCGGGGGCTAGGGCCTCGCACGGTAGAAAAGGAGAATGGCACGAGGTGGAAGACGATGAAACGGCGTTATTCGAGGTGGTAACGAGCGAGAGAAAGAGAGAAATACTTCGAGGTAGGCGCACACCTATGCGCGGTACACAGCTACTTTACCCTTCCCGCACTTTGCCCTCTGCCACCTACCCCCTTGACTCCACATCAGCTTTACCTGAATTCTCTACGTCGCAACCCTCTTCCACCTCGCAGTCGCTACACTTCAGCTCGACCGATTGAAATTTTCATACCGACACGTCTGCCGCTCCAGTTTATGTTCCGAACAAGCGAAACGCCACGGCACGATGCCTTTCGTCTTTGCCACCCTTTCCTGCTCCCTACTTTTCATCGTTCTACCCCTGTTTCCTAGGTAGCCTGTTAGGTTTTCTCCTTTTTTTTGTCGCTTTTATGCGTCGATCAACGATTTTGTGCTTCCTTTCTTACACGTATTTGATGTTTCAACAGAGGGGTAGTTCGTAACTATTTCATACTAAGAGAGTTCTTTGTTTTGACTTTCGATACAAAAGCGAGAATTAATTCAAATTTAAAATACGCTTGATTTTCGTTGAAATTTTACACTTCTGATCCTTTGCATCTCATTAAAAACTCATCAAGCTTAAAAGGCATTCGATTTCCAGTGGATCAAAGTTGACCAAGATCGCAGGATCAATTCAAAGTACTCTTCTCGTATTCAGCCTCTCGATTCCCATCTGATTATACTTCTCGCGCATAAAATATGAGCGACGGACATGCCCGAAAGCAGGATTCCCATCTACCGCCTTCGAATGCAGATTTCCTCGGCCAGAGACGAGGATGAAGCATTAACGGGTAGCTCGATTGGCCGAGGAGTCTGCAGCCGAGTAACGAGTGGTCCAGACGAAATGGAGGGCCTCAGGAATTGGATGGAGATCCATTGGGAAATGGATATCGAGAACAATGCGTATTGCTGACAAGGCGTCGACGTCCAAGTGACGTTCCAAGGTAGAACGTCGGCCCGTTTTATTTTCCAGTTCCCTCGAGAAACGGCGGGAAAGCGAACGATGGCACATTAGCTTCTGACGCAAATTAATTATCGATTAACAGCTTGGCCGCTCCTCTTCGCTCAATTAATCAACGACTCGAGTGGCTCGATCGCTCTTTTAGAGGCTAATTAAATCTGCCGAGCAATTAACCTCGACGTTCCTTCGATTACGCGGACACGTGCGTGTATCTTCCTTCTAAAAACGAATAAAACGTTCGTCGTTCATCTTGTCTCTTAACTTACAGCGTAATAAAAGATTTCCTAGCCTTTGTTTCAACTCCCCGAAGATTTACGAACACTCGTTTGTGATAATTAGATCAGAAGAGACGGAGGGCATCGAAGTTTCAACGAAGGCGATAAACACCGAGGCGTCGCGACGACGTCTACGGCCAGGCTGTTCGCGCTGTCAGGGCTCTTGATGCGACTTTTTAATAGAGTTCGCCGCCACCGAAGACGGTGAAAAAAGTATGGACAAGAGACGGGACGAGTGTCGCAGGGGAAAAGGGAAATATTCTTTCGCGCTGCTCGTTTTAAACGGCCTCCTCTCCGCGCGAGGAACTCAGAATAGTCGCAGAAATACGCAGCTGACGCTCGCAAATTAGCTCACCGTGAATCGTCTGGCTAAGCAAACTTTCGTAACTCGCGAAGCGATACTACCGAGAGAAATCTTCGATCGATCCGTGATAAAGGCGTCGCGGGAACGAATTATTCCCTCGTTATCCGCTCTAACATCGATAACACCTTGCTCCTGTTCGGAAACTACAGTTCCGCTGGAAGATGAACGAACCCGGATATCTTGATGGAATGGGGCGTATCGAGGAATTATTCGCGTGAACTTCGCAACTTTCCCCTTCGTCGATGCGATTAAAAGAATTTTTAACGACACCCTGAATGCTCGTATTTCAACCCTTTCCTACTAAGATCGCCTATAATTCTCTAGTATTTCTTTTGGTATTAATATCAGAAAATTGATTAATAATATTCAGAATCTCATCTTGAACTTGTCGCACAGGATAAAGGTGCAGTTATGATATTTCACGAGTAATCAAATCACGAAACATCAAAAGGATTTGATAAGCAGAATAACTCGATTGGTAATTTGCATTCTCGTGGCAAACGCATCCAGTCGATCGACGAGTACCCCCCTCGATCGTTCAAGAATTATTATTACTTGTGATGACAAAGAAGATAGGCTCCTCGAAAGCGATTAATTATCGAGAAAGGACGCGAGCCTGGATCGCGTGCACGTAATCCCGATGGAGGAAGAGGATCGAAAAGAACTCGATGCTATCTGGTCGACCTCCTTTTATTTGGATGCCTCTTCGTCTCCGCCCCTCCGAAACCCCCGCAGCCGTTTCGTCCTCATAAATCGTTTATTCATGTTTAATGCAATCCGCTATTCCGACTACCGCCAAAAGTTTTCTAAGTTCTCAGACGGAAATCGTGGATTCCGACGGGGGAACGGAGACGCGGGAACTTCGAACAAGGGAATGCTTTTGCATCGACGCGAGGCCTGTAACCGGCTGAAAAAAAAGTCCTCTGAAACCGAGGAGTCGAATCCTGGTATCGAGAGAAGTCTTTTCAACAAATCCCTTTTTTGCTTCCCGAAGCAAAAGTCGGGTGGAAGTTAAGGCAGGGACATGATAATTTCTCATGAAGAAATTAATGAGATCATTAAGTACATTTTTCTTTAGACGAGAGATGAAATCATACGGAATGATCAATTTCTTTTGGAGTTCTGTGCTTGCAAAATGCTCGACTGATGATTTATTATTTTTATATTTCATAATTTTAAATTGTAATTGGTAATTTAATTTAATTTTTATTTTAATAGACGGGACAAGTTCCATTAGTGTACATAAATAAATTTTACAAAATTTATTAAGAGCATAGAAATTGGAAATAAGTGGAAGTAATTTAAAATTCTCTCAAACTTGACTAACTTCGATTCTTATATTTTACCATTTAAAATACCCAGAATCGAACCACGCAAGTCTAACAAAATTCGCAGTCCGCTCAATAAATTGCTTCCTCCAAAATGTACGATTACGCGCAATTACGTGCAATTAGGTTCTTTCCCTATCTCAATCGATGAGAGTGTTTCGTGCTTTTCGCTATCACGAACTCGACGATCACTCTCGAAATTCCCTGCTCGGAAGTAGTCAACCGGCGATTACGTATTTGCTGGAAATACATTTGCTTTCGTGATCGAGCCTATCAACGACGCGTTACGATAATTAGTTTGACCCCCGAGGAAACGGGGTTGGCTAGAGACGGCTTTCGTGAAAGAGGACAAGGCCTTACGATTGAATAGGTCGCACGTGAAAAGGCGATATACACGACAAGAGAACACTCCTTGTATAAATGATAATAAAATTCTTGGAACATTAATATTCCAAGGTTCTCGGTCGTTTTATCTGTCGCTTTTAATGAAACGAAATAAACAGTCGGCTGCTAATGGGAACATTTACTTAACGCGAAGGAAAATTTCCGATTCTTACGAGCGATTTACCGCGTTCGATCGTTTCCCGATGCACCGTATCGGGCGGAGGCCGCGATTCAAAGAACGATCGCTCCCTTAGTGCAAATACTGCGCGCACGTGAGTCGTAGAAGCGGAAATTTGAGGCAAAAAGAGATCCACGACGAGAGGAGAAGCGAGCGGAAAGCCGACGGACAAAGAAAGAGGGAAAAAGAGAGGCTCGCACGAGTGGCTCTAATCCGTCCTTCAGCGAGCTTAAGCCCATCTTCGTGTACCGTGCCCGTGGAATACCGTTTAAGTGTCGTCCGTCTGGGGGTCCTTTGCTCGAGTAAATATTTAGGAATTTTTCAAGAGTCCCGAGTGCCTAAGAAAACAGTTTACTTCGTAGGAAAAAGAGGGATCCCTCCCGGGAGAGTCGGACTCACAGTCGAGAACCTGGAACAGTTTTCTACTAGAAAACCCCTCAAACTCTCCGTCGCGATCAAACACACCGTATACCGTATACGTATGCTCCGTAACAGAGACAGAGAGAAAAACGAAACGGTGGAAGAAGTTTTTGAAGCACAGGACACTAGCTTCATTTCGAAATTACCGACCTGCGTTTGTTCCTTGGCTAAACGCTTTAAAGCCGCGACCGCTTTATTTGATTCTGGTCTCCGCGTGCCCTCCGTTACCGAGCTCGTATTATTTCCCGAATTGTACTGAAAAGCGGCTAGAAACAGTCCGGCAACTCGTGCTAACTGGATTTAATAACCGCTAGACGGACTTACCGTTTCGACTATCGCGTTACGCTTCCCTCTGTACCCAACTGAATGCACGAAACTGATCCACTCACCTGTAATGGAAAAGGAAATGATATGGTTAGTATCGTAGATTCGAAATTTTCATTCAAAATGTTTCTAATTATTGAATATTCGGTTTTAAGCACTGGGGTGGCTAAAAATAATAATGCCGAAATGAATATAAACGATCGGTACCAAAAATTCAATGTAAATTCAGTAATTAAAATTATAGAAAATTTTTGGCATTAATATAGAAATATAAAAAGTTGAAAATTCTTGGTCGTTATAGCATTTTTTTGCAGTTTCGAGATAAAGTACAATTTATATGTAATGAAATTTCACAGACACAGGTACTTAAATTATTCAATCAGTCCCTTTAGATTGCCTCGTGAAGATTCATCGACGTTGATCGACGCGACGATTATTACTAATACAATTTTCATTCTGGATGCGTTTCATGCGCTCCGTCGAGCTGCAACGTGGAACGATCCTCGGAACGATAATGACAATAATGCGACGTACAATAAGACGTCCTCTGGCGTTTTAATGAGAAAAGGAGCACGGAGGCCCGGAGCTCATTACAACGGTGCCAAGCAACCCCTTAAGAAACTACCAGGGGGAGGTGAAGAATGATGGGACGAGCACGATCGTTAAGCCAACGAAACGCTCGGCAGATTCGTGCGTAACTTTATTTCTAGGCCGCAACGACGTTTCGCGTTAACGCGACCCAATTGCACCTCGATGGACCCGGTCCTTAATGACGGAAATAAAAAAAAGATGATTGAAACGCTCGGTCGTAATCTTCTTTACGGTTCTCCATGATTGAAAGAATGAAACGAAACGTGTTATACGCGAACAGATTTGATTTAAGCGTTTCACCCTCTCATTTGGCTAATATTCAATCAAGACACGTATTAACTTTATCGCATCACGTTTTATTTTATTTTTTATCGTATGAGAAGTTAAATGAATTTACAAACCACCTATTTGCTCGTCAATGAAATATTAATACAAGCTTCGCGTTTGCTCTTGATTATTGAAATTAATTATTTAAAAACCTAATTAAACGTCATAACTTAAATTTTGCTCCGAATCTCGTTACAGATTTGACGGGTTTTAATGTCAGCTGCAAACAGAGAAAAGCAAAAGGGAGTGAGAACCGGTCAAACGTTCGTCCCTCGAATTGGCTAATGAACGTTTAGATTGGACACGTGAAACGTATCGCGGACGCAAGAATAATTAAAATAGCGATAGCCAACGTCGCCTCGAAATAACGTTGACAATTAGTCTGGCTTTAATTTGGTAAAATTGCGATTCAAACTTTCATTAGGGGTCGAACCGACGTTGTCGGAGCATCGGTGAGCGGTGGAGGAGGAGGAGGAGGAGGAAGAGGTTGAGCGCATCAGCGAGCCAGAATCGCGTCGGACGCTCGGCGCGAGTAGCGACGGCAATAAACGCTTAATTACATGCAATAAGTAATTAAAGTGATTAAAGTTTATAATGTGATACGTGCAATTAGTAACGCCGCTCGAGCCGTCGGGGATTCAACCCTGGACGAGTGTATCTCGGAACGATATCAAAACGCGTTTATAAAATTTATAATAATACTTAACAACTTCCTAGCGGGTGGCATATTTCATAAATTAATAAATCGTCGAAAAATCTCGATGCTTCGAGAAATAAAGAACCTGTTGGCTGACCAATCTATCGACTTTTCTACTGACAAGTACAACTAAACGATAGTCATCCATATTTTCACTTTCTCTTCGTATAATTAATGATAATTGTGCATTTAAAACGCCCAAAATATGTAGAATATCGTACAAAACACGGTCTCACAACTTTTTATCTGAAGTCCAAGAAAACGTAAGAATAATATCGACGTGTGTCAGGTAGAAGGGAGAGAAAAGAATAAAGAAAGGGAAGAAAGAAGGGACAATTCTCGAAGCTCATTGCGATGCAGATATTCGAACCGTTTCGAGGGAGCTGGGCTCCCTGAGCGTAGAACCGGCTGTACAAGGCGAGACGTTTTTATCGCGGATTTCGAGCGACTGCAGGACGCGACAAGACGCGTCGCGTCGTTTCTGCTCGTCCTCGTCTTCGTTGTCGTCGCAGGTAGTCGGCTACGTGCGTGCATCTTCAATGAGAGACGTGCGCCCGTTGAATAATGCCGAGAATTCGGGGAAGAAGAAAATAAAGGTTAGACGACGACGACGACGACGACGACGACGGCGAGGACGACGGTGGTAACGGCGAACGCGACGAGAGAACGTCCACTAGAACGGAGTAAAGAGACGAATAATAAAAGGAACGAAGGAAACGAAGGCAAGCGACAAAACCGGGCGGACGAACGATTAGAGAAGATGTCACATGGTTACCAAACCACCGCAGCGTCTCAATGAACCCCCTCGAGCAACTTCGTTAAAGCGGATCCCTACGACACACAGCGACGTGACTAAAACCGCTTCCGTGGTCTCTGTTCTACGTCGCGGTGCATCGCGTAACCGCGGATACGGGCGACGCGGTGTCCTGTGACGGAAAGTTCGTCGTTTCGGTAACTGCGACGGGGTGGGTCGTTGCTCCGTGACGAATATCCAAATTCCATATCATTCTAATTACTTCTCTGCATCTATTAGGTCATTAAGTATAAAACGTTCGATTACCTAAAGTACCAAGTTCGACGCTTGATATCTCTATCCAAATTTTTCTGGAACCTCTATAATGTTATAGGGCAACGCCATTTTATAACCAATATCCTGCACAGTCGTAAAAACAGCAGCTGTTCGAGAATCGCATGGACACTTCGAAAAACCGTGCCACCAGCCACGTTACGAATGCCGGCACGAATGTTGCGGCTTTCTTTCTCTCTCCTTTCCCTTCCAGCCTTTCTACAGCCTCTTCTCTTCGGCTTCGCGATCCTCCCACCGGTTATATTTACCGACATAATAAATTTGAAGCCAGATTCGAGACGGTAGCGAGGGAGCTAACCGCGAATCGCGTTGCTCCTCGTATCGAGGACCAGTAAACAAGTTAAACCAGATTAGAAGCTCGCGCTGGTGCCCGTAAACCGTTGCGCTTCTTGCGAGTTCCTGTCACGATGCACGCGCCCCGTCTTTCCCGTCTTTCCAAGTGAAAAGAAAGAGAAAAAAAGCTGGCGCAAGGTTTGCGAACGGTGACAGAGTAGAAAAGGAGTAAACGACTCTTCATCTTGCCGAGTAGTGCACTCGGTTTCTTTCCTCTTCCTCGAATTTCCACCGGATTTGGAGCTTCTTGTAAACAAGCTCGCGAAGGAAAATGTTATCGCCTAGAATGGTCGACGCCGGATTCTCTTTTTCCTTCGTTCCCCAGCGAAACGAAGTCTAGACACGTTTAATTGCATACGAAGTCGAAAGCGATCCGCGATTTCGAAGAACGGGCTGTTAGGACTCGAATTTCATCGCGACGATACGACGAACGATTTCGTAAATAACGTTTCCAGGTAATCGAACGTACGCGCGTTGCGATTAGGAAGACAATTTGCGGAGGGCCCCTGTAAAATTGGAAGATATCGGCGGGAACGCTCATTGCCATAACAATGAGCCAACGGCACGCAACGATTCCCGTCACGGGGGATCAGCGCGAGGAATCGTCGCGTCGCGTCGGCGCGTTTCCACGTACCCGAACGATCCTTCCTTCATGCACCGTCTAACGACCGTACAAATTGAACGGACGTAGCCGCGTACACGGCTCGGCTTAGCCAACTTCCGGAGCGCGCTGAAAACGGCCGCCTGTGAAATGAATCGATTTTCTCGGCCACCCTCGCAACAACCTTACTGCTGACCGTGTGTCACGAAAGAAAGGAAAACCTGTGCGATCGATATTCTCGTAGGGCTCGAAGCAGTCAACTTTCCCTTCATCCGATTCCTTGAATTTGAAAAAAAAGAATAATAATAGAAAAATCACTATCTCCATCGGTCGCATACGAACGTAGCCACATTTTCGGATTGGTGATATCAAAAGCGATAGGCGAATCGAGCGATGTCTATATGCGCCGTTACACACCTGCCTTGTACGTACCATTAAAGTACACGTACCCGCGTATGTACTCGCATACAGAATGCACACATGTCTGGTCGAACAATGGCTCGATCCAGAAGCATATAACAGCCGTCGATACGGTGCCTTACAGCGCGCTATATGCGCCATTGAATGACGAGCATTCGAGCGAATGGGACCAATCAGGCTGATTGGCCGACCGGTATTTACATTTCTGCGGGCAAGTCTGCCTCCAGCATCGCCGACGGCAGCTTCGTCGAGAGAATACGAGGTTGGTTAGACTACTCTCCCCGGAATCGTGGAAACCGACTCGAAAGTCGTCGTCGCAAACGTACGATCCGTTTCATCCTACAAAGGGAATCGATTCGCTGTTAAACGGGCCAACTTTCACGGAAATCTTTCGCCCGACGATTTCATTCTACCAGCATAGTACAGATTTCGCGGTTTATGATCGTCCAAAGAAGCTGTTGGTTTTGGTTAGCCGGCAAAGTTGGACAGCGAAACTTTGTCCGCGGCAAGTTTCCAGGCGACGGGAAAAGTTTTTCGCTACCTCCTCGTATAACGCTAAGCAGAAACGTCTGTCGGTGGTGTACCGGTATCAGATACCCGCAGAAATCCAGGACACAAAGTGGTATCGTTGTTAAGGATCGTGTTTGCCGGAAAGCGTTCGATGTTCCGATAGAATTTAACGAATCCTCTCTAAACGAACGAAGCAAGCGGAAGCTGTTTAACGGTACCATCAGCGAGTCTGGTCTGTCGCTATTCGCAAACGCGGGGAACAATCACAACGGGGCTGCAAACAGATTCCAAAAAGCTGGATCACGCGAGAGTGGTCCCTTTGACAGTAGCGAGCCGTGAGCTAATAACAATCAGCCTGGAGCAAGCGTCTCGACGCGTTTTATCCAGAGGGCGGACGAGCGCGAGCGGAAAGAACACGCGAGCGACGAGCGTTTAACTACACCCCTACCAGTGTGGAACGTTCCTCGAGATCCAGAGTTAATTGCGTTCTCGCCACCCT